GGRMCCMTMAGGGACCCCCAGGAGCCGCTGGGACCCCCAGGGACCCCCAGGGACCCCCAGGACTCTTCAGGTGCTGTAAGAACCCACAGGGACCCCTGGCAGCTAAAGGGACCCCCGATAAGGGACCATAAGGAGCTATAAGGGACCATAGCGACAGATTAAGGTGTGGGGACCCCCGGGACCCATAACCACCCCAAAGACCCCCACAACCCCCTCCCCATCGTGCCCCGGCGGGACCCCCAAAGCTGTCAGATCTTTCCGGGCAGCACCTGTAGGGTCCAGGTGACACCCAGGACATAAAGGGACCCCATGGGGTCCCCCGAGCACCCATAGACCCCCCCCCCTCCGGGCACCCACAGGGCGCCCCCCAAGCACCCAAAAACCCGTAGGGTCCCCCGAGCACCCCATAAGACCCCCAGCCCCCCATAGGACCCCCAAGCCTCCCCCAGCGCCATCGCTGGGGACCGGGGCTGGGGGGGGGAGCACCCCATGGAGTGGGGCCGGGCATCCCCCTCCCCATCCCCCCCGGGGGGGTCGCATTCCCCCTCACCCCCCCTCTCCCCATCACCCCCTCTGTCCCCCCTTTTCCCAGAGGGGTCCCGCTCCCCTTTCCTCCCCTCCCCGCGGGGGTCCCGCTCCCCTTCTCCCCCATCCCCACGGGGGTCCCGCTCCCCATCCCCTTCCCCATCCCCGAGCGGCTCCCGCTCCCCTTCTCCCCCATCCCCTGGAGGGTCCCGCTCCCCCTCCCCACCGGGAGGTTGGGAACCGGCTCGGGCGGCGTTCGGGGAGCTGCGGCTGGAGGAGGTGATCGGTGCCGGGGGTTTCGGCCGAGTTTTCCGGGGTACCTGGAGGGGACAGGTGGTGGCGGTGAAAGCGGCGCGGGGTGACGCGGGGGCGGCGGGGGCGGCCAGCTTGCGGAGAGAAGCGCGGCTTTACGCCCGCCTCCGCCACCCCAACGTGGTGGCACTGCGAGCGGTGTGCCTGGAGCCCCCTCACCTGTGCCTGGTGATGGAATTCGCGGCCGGGGGGCCGCTGTCCAGGGCGCTGGCCGGACGSAGGGTGCCCCCGGCCGTGCTGCTGGACTGGGCTCGCCAAGTGGCTCGGGGGATGCGGTACCTGCACTCCGGGACCCCCGTGCCCCTCATCCACCGCGACCTCAAATCCAGTAATGGTGAGAGGAAAAAAGGGTGGGGAGTGCAGATTCTGGGGGTCCCGGGGTCGCCAAAGTGGGGGTTCGCAGATATTTGGGGTCCCGGGGTCCGCAGGGTGGGGGTTCCCAGATATTTGGGGTCCCGGGGTACCCGAAGTGAGGGTTCCCAGACATTGGGCAGGGTCCTCAGGGTGGGGGTATTGCAGAGGTTGGGGGCCCCCGGGTACCCGAAGTGGGGGTTCGCAGATATTGGGGGTCCCGGGGTCGCCAAAGTGGGGGTTCCCAGATATTTGGGGTCTCGGGGTACCTGAAGTGAGGGTTCCCAGATATTGGGGATCCCGGGGTCCCCAGGGTGGGGACTCCCAGACATTGGGTAGGGTCCCCGCGGTGGGGGGATTGCAGAGGTTGGGGGTCTTGGGCTCCCCGAAGTGGGGGTTCGCAGATATTGGGGGTCCCGGGGTCCGCAGGGTGGGGGTTCCTAGATATTTGGGGTCTCGGGGTACCCGAAGTGGGGATTCCCAGATATTGGGGGTCCCGGGGTATTTGAAGTGGGGGTTCCCAGATATTGGGGGTCTCGGGGTACCCGAAGTGGGGGTTCCCAGATATTGGGGGTCCCAGGGTGGGGGATCCCCCACATTGGGGGTCCCAGGGTAGGGTCTCACTCCCCAAGGTCCCCAATTTGGGGGGTCCAGGTTACTGGGATGCCCAGGGTGGTGAAATCCCAAACACTGAAATCCTCAAGGTTGTACAGGGGAAGGG